GTCACTGGCTGAGTACTGGCAGATGTTCAAATTTTGTCAGCAAATGGATCTTCCAGCAGAAATGTTCATATATTTGTATGCAGGTGATTGGTATGGGCGTATATGAACAGGCACACAGCAAATTTTTATAGAAAAATTTGTCTCGATGGGGCCAAACAATGCACTCCTAGCTTTAGGTTTTAAGATTGCTTTTCTCAAATCGCTAAGAAAAGTTAGATAACAGAAAAAAAGAAATTGAATTACATGGTTACACTAAAGCAATTTAGAACATTTGGTGTAAAAACAACTAATAACAATAACTCAAAGATGGGCTATTGCATACAGAAAATCATCAAAGTTAAATCTTGAAATCAAAATTTTGTTCTCTTAAAATTGTAAATTTCTCGTTGTTTATTGTTGACTTGTCAACATGTTTTTTTTGTACAAAAAAATTTGAAAGTCAACATTATAAACCAATATTTAACTTTAAACAGATAAAAATATCAAAAACATGAGTCAAAGATAAGATAAAAACCCTTATTTTAGTTAAAAGAAATGTTTTTTAATTTAGTGAGATAGTCACATGTTTTGTCAAATTTTAGGCAATTTTATTTCAAAGTTGTTTTAATGACCTTCAAAGAAATGAAAATAGTTTGAAAAGGCCTGGTGAATGACTGAAATTTTCATTTAAAATTTTAAATTTTGTTCTCACCGAATTCAAATTGGAGAGGATTTTGAAAGTCAAAGTTCAAATTTGAGCTTTATAATATTTATTGAATATTTATGGGCAGGAAATATGGCCTATTTTAGGGTGAAATAGGTTGAAACTTAGTAAAAAATTGGGCTATTTATTATTAAATAGTGATTATTATTTTATTTGGGGAAATGTTAATTTCAAAAGTTCCCATAATTTGTGTTTGAATCGACCTTTCAAATTGTTTGTGAATTTGATATTTAAAGTGGGAACATATTATCATGTAGCTTGTAATTTCATTTGAACAGTATTCAATGCATGAATCCCATTTTCCCATTAAATCTATGTAAATATTCAAAGGAACATAATTTTAAATGTTGTATCCATTATTTTTTTAGGGAAGAATTGAAAATTGACATATTCTATCTATGTGAAAAAGAAAATCAAATTTAAACCAAAATGAAAAGTATCTGTACTGTGTGTGCAGAGTTTGGACTGTGTACCTGATGTGTGATCACATACTATTCAAGCATTTCTAAGTGCTATAGGAGATATTTGATCTTTTCAGTAATATGATTTAAATAGATAAAACCATAAATGTGAATTTTTATCTTTTTGGCCATGTCCCAAATTTCAAAGGTCCTTATTTCAATATTTTATCAGATATTGTATTACTAAGTAACTCAATAAATTTTGTTTAAAAAAATCAGCAAATTTTGCTGAATATTGATACAATTGAAATATATAAGCTTATATTATAAAGATATTAGCCCTTGATCATGATATGCCCACTTTTATGTGGTTTGATATAATGGATTTCAAGTTCAAAGTTTAATGCCAAAGATTAAACTTATGGTTATTATATAGAGCCTGTATCTCTCCAGATTTTGACGAATTGTTACCTTAACTAAATTGAAAAAAATAAATATGATTTATTTACCATGATCTTCCAAACCCATTCAATTTTTATGAAGGTACTGGTATATGAAATAAACCAATTGATATTAAAAGGAGAGTATGCAAAATTTAAATTTAAAAATTATAAATGGTGTAAATTATACATGAAAATATTTAGAGAATATGCCATTATATACTACTATGCATCTACTTGATCAGTTTGAAATTGTTTTAATAGGGTTAATTAAAAACAGAGATAAATAATTGTAAAGTAATCAGAGTTTTGGGCCTTATAAAGGCTCAATACTTGAGAATACGATGAGAAATATTTCTCCACAATTTGGCGTAAATTAGTTTTTTTCAACACCACCAAAAACATAGTGGCTGTAAAAGATAAGGGACACACATCTCTAAAATTTGGTCTATAGTTTTGATTAATTTGAGCGCCTAAATTTTCCAACCCAATGTACTAAAAAATCCAGACAGCTCCTTAAAGCAAGCTTGTAGGCAGTTTGAGATGGTTGTGAAATTGTTCTCGGACAAATTCTAACTTGACGCATTTTCGATGAATGGTTTTTGAGTTATTGCCCTTGAATTTGTTAAAACGCATCGAAATATGTTAAAAATAGTTCGTGAGCACAATAGAAGCTACAGTTTTCAACCGATTCTGATGAAACTTGGTGTGATCATTGGAATTGATAAGATCTCAGACAAGTTCCAACTTGATGCATTTTCGCTGAAAGGTTTTTTTGAGTTACTGCCCTTTCAAAATGTGTTTGTGAGCAATATAGAAGCTACAGTTTTCAACCAAATTTGATCAAACTTTTTATGATCATTGGAATTGATAAGATCTCGGACAAGTTCTAACTTAAGGCAATTTCAATGAAAGCTTTCGGAAAAACGTGTCAAAATTTGTTTGTGAGCACAATAGACGCTACAGTTTTCAACCGATTTTGATGAAACTTGTTGTGATCATTGGAATTGATAAGATCTTGGACAAGTTCTAACTTGATATTTTTGATAAACTTTTTTTGAGTTATTGCCCTTGACTTTGTAAACACGCGTCAAAAGTTGTTTTTTGCCCTTGATTGGAGCTGTGTGATTTAATTGTTTGTTGTATTTGGGTTATTGATATTGATTTTAAAAAAATTTGGTGGAATTAGCATAAATAACTGGCTTATATATATGTAATTGAATTCAAACTAATAAAATTTCTTCAATATGGGAACAATTCGTACTTTAGTCACTAAAGACTATTTTATCATTTCTGACAGCTGCCGTATGGGCGTATGTTACTTTGCCTCGCAAGCTATCTTTTATATTTTGGTTATTGGAATTTGTTGTACAATCTTAGCTTCTATTTGGAATTATATTATTTTATATTCCATGTTTATCTTTTTAATGTTATAATATAATATTTTTGAATTAATGGTTTGAAAAAAGGAATACAATTTTGAATACATCAAAAGTACGTACATGAAATTTAAAAATGATTTTTATTCAGCATGTCTGACTTCAGTATAAGTCAAATATTCTAGTGTACTAGTAAGTCAACTGTCTCATTGAACTTTCAAACAAATTGAATTTACCAGGTTGATATATTATAGATTACAGAAGGATATTTGATATTAGTTTATGTGTTTATTAGACTAAATGCAACAAAGACACTTTTATGACATACATGATTACATATTTTTTAATGGAATAAGGCTTGGTATTATTTTGGAGTATCACATGTTCTATCATGTTTTATTACAAACTATATATTGTTTTATTATCACTATAGTTACTACATAGTATCAATGAATCAATTCATTCAATGATCAATATGTACACATTAATATCAGATTGCATACAAAAGACATTTTGGGGCAATTTCTTATGATTAGGTGGCTACCTGTCTTATTCATATATTGTTGAGAAGCCCTTTTGATATATTGTCAGAAGAAATATGTCTATAAGTGTTATATAAGTCAACAAAATGAATAATGAATCAGATAATGAAATATGTTTGTGAATTCAGTTCTTTGTTAGTTTTTCAATTCTTTATTTGATTTGAAAACTGTTCTTAGAAAAACTGTATACAAATGAAGTTTAAAAAAACAAAATTTGTCTTCAAGCATGATAAAACCTGCTTAATATTGAAAAAATCATTGAAAATCTTTCAAGTTTAAGCTTTTCATAACTAGAACAATACATGTATATTATAGTTAATATTGGTTTTGACCTCTAATTTTATTGGTTCTTTGTCTCTTTTGTGGACAATAACATAACACTGTCGATTACCATCAGCTTGATGAAGACAAGAATACCATCATCATTGTTATAATAAAACAGTAATTGTTATTTATAAAGACTGTTCTGTTATTAGTTGTTAGTTAATTACTAAATCCCACTAAAAGAAATTATATCAAAAATACATCTTTATATTTTATGACAACAATTTATTCTTTTCATAGACTATATCTTCATTGTTGAATAACCAAACGAAGTACCATTATATTGATTATAATACCTATGTTTACATAAATTTTATTCTTAATTTCAGTTTTTAAACCCAATGCCAAATCCAACTCATGTCCCAAGTTTAGAAAGATATTGCCTGGTGTTAAGACAGCTTTATTTGCAAATAAGACTTTACTACCAGATTATACTAAGTACTTAAAAAGGTATGTTATCAGTATATAAAATGGATAAAAAGCTTATCTTTAAAGTTACCATACCAGATTTAGAAAAGAAATGGATTGTTACCATAATAACTGAATTAACATCAAATAGGCAGACAGCTATTGATTTCTTTGACTTTGGTTTTTACAGGTTTTGTAATGGAGCTCAATGTGGTAGTAGTACTTGTAAGGAATTGGGCTATAGAGAACATTACCATTGCCTTGATTGTAGTCGAGTAAGTTGTTCCACTTTAGCTTTCTAGTTTAAAATCTTCAACAAAACAAGACTAGTCTATGTACCTAAAATTATAAATAGTTCATTATTAGATATTGAATTGACAATGCATGATTTTTGATCTACCAGTAAAAGAAAACGATAATTCTTTCAGCTCTCTGTAACTCTCTGTTCAAACTATTAGCACTCTTTAATATTGTTTTAATGTTGTATTATTCTAACATGTAACATAATTCTTTTCGTTTTGATAGCACCTTTAATAACTGTCAATTCTGAAAAAACTAGGATTATGTGTTGATAAAATATTGACTGTATTGTTTGTTTCTCCAAAAAAATTAAAAGGGAGCAATAAATTTCATATTTAGGAAATACAGGTATGGCCATTTCAAGATTAAGTTGTATCCATTTAATCCTAGGATATATATTATTCTAATAGAAATAAATTGTCCTCATGGACGTGTAGAGTAGTGCATGTATAGTAGAGTTAGATTTGGGTGGGAGTTATGAAATGTCTATTTGATTATATTAGGTTTATGTTAAAAAAGAAGAAATGGTTCGACATTTCAAATGGCATAAAAAACGGGAAGAATCTTTACAACATGGTTTTATGCGTTACAGTCCAATGGACAACTGTAAATCCAAGTTTGGTACTTGTACCCATAATGGACGCCAAACCCATTACCATTGTATTCAGGTCTGTTAGTCTTAAATTGATAAAAAAAATGCCTTAAATCCTGGTTTCCTGAAAATACTGTGGCCTCAAGAGAAATTCTAGTCATTTGACGAAAAAGAGCTCTCAGATTTTTCTATATCCTTATCTCTAGTATTTTTAGATATTGTTTGTTAATCCACAACTTTTTTTAATCAACTTAAAACAGACACTTTCAGTGGTGTATTTTCAAATTGTAAAGAAAATTTTCTAACTATTCAACAAATTAAAACTATTTTTCCAGGAAAATCTTTTTGCTGTATAAGAGTAAGATTACAGAACTGTTTTCCATATCAAACCAATTTTGGTTTCTTTACCACTGAAAATGTATGTTGTTAATGTTGTACTAAAACTAATTACTTGTTGTCATACTGTTATTCTACTAAAATCTATTTTAACTTAGTTTCTGTAATACTAATCAACACTGGCAGTATGAAACAAAATTACTTCGAATTTCTCAACCAGGACCATCCAAATCTATTTTTTTCATTGTAATTTTTATTGTTTTAAAACTGTGTTGAAATTTTTAGGCTGGGTGTGATAAAGTTTATATTAGTACATCTGATGTACAGATGCATGCTAATTATCATCGTAAAGATTCAGCTATTATACATGAAGGTTTCCAGCGTTTTCGAGCCACTGAGGACTGTGGTACTACAGCCTGTCAATTTTATGGACAGAGGACAACACATTTTCATTGTCGACGCTCCGGATGTAATTTTACCTTCAAGAATAAAGCAGATATGGGTATGTTATATAGCTTTGTATCAATAAGAACCTTGCATTTATAACCTTATTGTATGTCATTAGTTTATGTTATGTTATGAGATGATCTTGACAGATCAGCTGACTCCATAAACTAAAGATCAAAGTTTTACTACTTTTTTTTGTGTCGGCTACATTAAACAATACACCATTTTTATACGGCCACATCTCTCTATGTGGACGTATATTGTCGCCACCCCTGTCCGTCCGTCCGTCCGTCCGTCAACATTTGCTTGTAATTGTTAGAAGCAGAGTTATTGCCCTTGCCCCAAAATCTTGAATATGCTATTACTCTCTTAGTTTTCAACCGATTTTGATGAAACTTAAAATGGATTTTATGGGACCTAAATGGAAAGGTTTGAGAAAGTTTAGTTTACTTCTGATTAAATTTAAGGCTTTTTCAAGATTTTGGCCTCTTACGTCAGTTTTGAGGAGTTATCGCCCTTTAACCTCTATACAGTAAATGCTTCTATCAATATCAATTTCTCGTAAGCACTTTAAAAACTAGAGTGTTTGAAGGAATCAAATGAAATTCGGTATGTGCATACATATTCATGAAACGAAGGTCAGTCGTTCCGTCCATCCATCCGTCGGTCCGTCAACATTTGCTTGTAAACGCTCTAAAAACTAGAATTTTTGATGGAATCAAATGAAATTCAGTATGTGTATACATATTCATAAAACGAAGATCAAGTTCCAATTTGAGCTATTTTCGACCGTTACAAGCAGAGTTATTGCCCTTGCTCCAAAATATTGAATATTTACCATCCGCATGGCGTGGTGGGCGTATATGGCTGTGGTCCACTATCTTTGATATTATGATTTTAGTGACCAGAGAGTTCCAATCATGGTCAGTTACACTCAGATTTTCTTTTTTTAGAAATACCCCTGCTCTGGTCAGTAGAACAAAATTCATATCTTTTGATTGGGAGAATACAGGACATCCTTAAAGGAACAATCAGTAATCAGTTGTATACATGCACATCTGCACAGTAGATCAAAATTTTAGCTCGCTATATCATATTTCATGATAATATTTAACCTCCTGTTAGTATGCAAGTAAAGTAAACCATTGTGACAAGAGTTTTAATATTTTATTTACCGTCTGACTTTTAGTTGTTATTTACATTGAGCACTGATATAGGACTTCAATTGAGATAATAAATTCATTCCTTTCCAGAAAAACACAAAACCTACCACCAGAAGGATGAAATACTATCTAAAGATGGGTTTAAAAAGTTTATGAAGTATGAGAATTGTTTATTTACTAATTGTAAATATGCTAAGATTAGTAATCATATTCACTGTATACGGCCAGGTTAGTATTTTATAATTAAATCATGATTCCGTTTACACGCTTTCACGCAATTTGATTAGAAAACAGCGGTCACGTGCATTCGGTTTATATCTGTGTAAACGAGAAAAAATATAAGCTCTGCCCCTTAGCGGACTACTTTTATCATTGAGTTTGATTGACGTGGATACTATACAGCATCAATGTAGTTCCTTCAAACGTCAACAGAGCAGAAATCAACAATCACTGAATGATAAAGGTATTTTCTAAATTCCTTCAAATGTGCACACTCCAAATTCCAACAATATCATGAATTCTGGACTTACTTAGAACTCGTCTTTCAATAATTGAACTTCCAATTTGGCCGCTCCATCAACTTTTATGTGGTAGACAGTAGACTATAAATAGGTGACCTACTTATTTTTGATTGGCTGTTATCTAGGACATCTCTATTGTTAGTATCAGTTCATTAATGTTATGTTAAAATGTTATGTATTTATGCACCAATTAAGTGCCTTAAGTTGTTGTTATATTACATAAATATTTAAACACTTATTTCGCTACGCATATTTATACAGTGTACACAGGTGTTTGTACATCGATAAACTGAAAAAATGTTCAGGTCATTCCTTTATTGTCGCAATTTATTTTCTGTCAAATGGGATAAGAATAGTCTTCTGCTGTCTTTTAAATTTTCAGTAATGTGTAAAGTCAAGGTAGAAATCTGACGTGGTCAAAATAAATAAAAATAAGTTCTCTATGTTCATATTCTTAAAATTAACACAGACAATTAATTGAGCTCTATAATCTCTCAAAGCACAATCTTTAAAACCTATAGACCCCTTTCATTTCATATCTGAACTGTTGATTTTTATTTTACAGGTTGTGATTATGTTTTACATTCCACGGCTCAGCTTTACTCACACAAACGTAAACATGAACGAAGAGACTTTGAAAGTGCATACCAAACATTTCGTCAAACTCAGGACAAGGGAGGTAAAATAATCCGTCAAGTCCATCCAACTTTAACAAAATCTGGTCCTGCTACTCAAATAGTAACTTCAATACAACATGCACCAATAGCCACAGATAAACCAATGTCACTTCCTGTTCAAATAAATCAACAGAAAAATATCTCAATGCCTGCTTTTCCAGTTCCATTCAGATCCTCAATAAATCAATCAAATGAAAATATATCAAGGGAGACTACTCCTGTTAAAGATATGACAACTGAACAGCCATCTGTTTTGAAAAAGTTTGGTGAAAACTTGAGTGGAGAGAAACTAAATGATTCCCTCACATTACCCATACCTAGAATGGAAGTTAGCAGTAATACAATTTTCAATAAGCCAGTATCTTCTGTATGTTTGACTCCTGTTAAAGATATCCCAGTACAAGACACTACAAAATTGTCAGAACGTAAAGATAAAGATGAAAGTTGGAGAAATTATTTGGTTAGGTGAGAAAATTATAAACAGTAAAGAGTTGTATTTTTTGATAAGCAAAAAGGAAAATCACCTCGAGATAGAGAAGGCATTGGACTTACATTTTTTTAAAAACACTGATGTATATCTTTCAAATTATTTGCAGGATTTTTTGAAAATCATATTTTGACATGGAATAATGTCAATATTGAACTAAAGATAGGACAACATTCTTGAACAAATCCTCAATTATTGTCTGTTGCTGATGTTTAAATATATATATTAGTTTTTTGGGGTTTTTTATGTGCTAAAATAACCTGCTTAAAATTTTCAGGTATACAGCTAATGACCCATGTAATTCTAGATGTAGTTTACTTTATAAAGATCATTATCATTGTCAAGTTGGAGGCTGTAATGAATTATTTAGAGCTAAGGATGCAGTTAGAGAACACTCCAAGTAAGTTATTGTAGATATGATATTTCTCTATTTTTAAATAGGATGTTTTTTACAAATTACGTCTTTAATTTCTGATGTTAACCTGCATGACTTAGCATGTAGACATTTTTACTCCCAAAATATTTATAAAGTCAGAGAAATGAAAGCAACAACTTCAAAAATTTAAACTTTTTGGACTAATTGTTTACATCTTGATGGTAGTAACAACAGGTCATGTAATGTAAATCAGTGCTGGCGCAATATTTATCAGTGAATCAATACATCCCCATGTAACAAGGCTTGATGCTACCAGGCATACTTGACATATAACTGAACGTCAAAAAGCATGAAATGTCCAATTCGTCAAAAGTAGCAACAATAAACCTGTTGACAATTATCATATTATTTTGAATTTATCTGAAAATGTACAGAAGTAAAAAAATACTGAAACTTTGAAGATAAAGTGCTACATTATATATATTAGCCCATATCCTATCATATTGATATTGTAAATGTAATAATAAGAAATAGAATAAAGAGAAGTAGAGTAAAGGGAGATAATAATGCAAGTTATAAATTAGTATGGATTATGATGGGATTATGACGTATTATCATATTGTAGGTTTCATGAACAACAAGATCGTATAACACCAATGGTCTATGATTTATATGAAATGAATGAAGATTGTAATCATAAGGACTGTGAATATAATGGCAATCAAAAGCATTATCATTGTAATTGGGTAGGTATTCAAGCTATTGCTTGTTTTTGAGGTTTCAGACATTAACATTAGCCGTAATATTGTACCGGGTACCACTAATTTCTACATGATGTAACAACCCTAATCAAACAGACTTCAGGACTGAAACTATCACATGAATCTTTTCCATGAATTGCTGAAAATTAGGCATGTTGCTTTTTTTGACAAGTGACTAATGCCTTTCCAATGCAGTTAACTTTATTGTCTTTATTTTTCAGACTGGCTGTGATTATGTTATTCAAGATGGAGGTGGAGTATTTAATAGATTAGAACATTATAGAATACATGAATATACTAAAACAACATCTGGCAGATCTTCAAAATCGTTATCAGAAGAGGATGTATCTAAACGACGACGTGGCAGACCACCTAAATTTCCAGGCTGTAGAGTTCCGTCAGTGCCAAAAGTCAACTTATCTGATAATGAAATTAATGACTCAGTAATACGTTTTATAAAAGGTGATGTTGATGATGATAGTAAAATAATCAATGGTTTTAAGAAATTTGAAACAAGTGAATCTTGTCTTGATGATTTATGTTTATTTCTTGGTAAGGATCATTATCATTGTGCACGAAACAGATGTCACCATGCCACAGATCGATTAGATGTTCTTAATCTTCACACAAAAGATTTCCACACTTATGTAAAGATTGTTGAAGGCTTTGAGTATTTTGACCAGAACGTTAATTGTAGACGTAAACAGTGTCATAATAATAAAACAACAAGTCATTTCCATTGTACTCGCAATGCGTGTGATTACAGTTTCGTACGTCACAGTACAATGTCTCAACATGAAAAGAAACATCACTCAAATTCATCACCAATGAATACATCTGCTGTTAAGACATCCAGTAACTATGTTCCCATAGTACCAAATACTCCTGGTTCTCTTGAATTAAAGAATAAGAATATTGTGAAAGCTGCAGGAACATTCTATCCGTTATCAGGACTTAATAATAATAATAATGTTTCAGCAATGGTATCTGTATCATATCCTAATTTAGTATCATTAAGTCAACCTCTATTAGCTTCGACCACATCTCTACTTGCTGCTTCACCCAGTGCTATAGTACCATTTACTGTACCCTTACCTGGTCTAGGATTAGTACCACAACTCCTAGTACCATCCAGTCAAACTCTTCAATCATTGGTACCAATGACTAGTGACAATTTACCAACATCGTCTGCTCTTCCAGTCTCACTACAACAGAAACCAGAAGTAGAATCTGATGGTAATGAACCTACGTGGTCAGAATTAAGGAACACTATGCACTTCTCTAATACTCAGAATTGTTGTCGCCCGTTTTGCAAGCTGAAAAAAAAGGATCATTATCATTGTGTGGAATGCAATCAGGCATTTTCAGATCCAGTTAGGCTCCAGACCCATATAGTTAAACACGGTATCAATTTCAAATGCTCGTCAAGTATAAATAATGGTTTAGATCTATCTTCACCAGCCAAAGAAATAAAGTATACAAATGAAGACTTTGATGCTAAAACTGATGGGGATATAACTTCTTCTTCATTGAATCTGAATCCTGATGTTTTTTCTAATATGTGGAAATGTGAGACTGAAAGTAATGGTACAACTATTAAAATTAAGAAGGAGAAAGATATTAGTTATGATATGGACATTGGTGAAGATGAAGATATTCCTCATGATTTATCAAAATGGTCTGGTCGAAAGAGAACATCAACCCGTCATGAAGATTTTATTGATAGTGATGCTGTATCATCACCTTACAAAATACAGAAATTATCCAGTCCTAAAAGTTCACGAGTGAAAGTAGAAAGTGACAGTAAAGTATTGGAAGGTTTTAATAAATTTCGCTACAATGAGGATTGTGAGCATGAAAAATGTGCATATAAACATAGTTCAACACATTATCATTGTATACGTTCTGATTGTGGTTATGGGTTTAGTGATAGATCACGATTAGTACAACACATAGCTCGACATGAACGTATTGATAAAATAATGGGAGACGAATTCAGGCAATTCAGGGCATCTGTAAATTGTTTCTATGAGGACTGTGAATTTTCCTCAAAGGCAACACATTTTCACTGCCTGAAATGTTTATTTGCCTGCGCTGATTCAAGTAAAGTGTCTGCCCATAGGAAATATCACATAAAGCTACAGAATATTAGTTCTAAAGGATTTGTCAAATTTATTGGTAGTCAAGACTGTGAAATTCCTTTTTGTCCTCATTCCAAGAAACAGACACATTATCATTGTACCTTCCAGAATTGTAATCATGCAGTTCTTGGACCTGCTCAAATGGCGCCACATAAGCTGAAACATTCCATCAAAGAAAAAAGACAATCATAGTATTATAGTATAATTTGTTATTTTGGTTATTTTTGTTATTGAATTATTTGTTAGTTGAATGAATTTTTGTTTGATATAAACTATTACTGCTGTTTATTTGATAGAAATGTACAAATTGTTATTATTATCATTAGAATTATTATGCAAATCATTTATATCAGTTCTGTTAAAGATTTGAGTCACTTGTTCTTGTATATGTTAGATTAGGATAGTAGGATAGTTTTTATAGGAAACAAAGAAACTAATGGTATTTTAGACCTGTTGTCAACTCGACAGTTTCTTACTTTGTAAAATCTTTCAAGAAATCTAATACACAATGTTAATCAAAATTCTATTTGTGATCATTGTAGACTGAAAATTAAAAGGCTTCTGACAATAAACTAAATCAAATGACATATGATATGAGACTCCCTTAATTCAGTTGTGTTCACTTTAGTATCTTTAAATAGAAATTAGGGATTTTATGTACATAAATACCATTACCTTCACCAATAATAGTATTATTCCATTATATTTAACTTATAATATAGGCCTATTACAGGTATCCATCCTTTTAGCTAGCTTTTCACCTGTTCCATTAAAGTACAAGGTTATTTATTTGCAAATCATTTCATTTATTGAGAGCTGACTCTGACTTTCAGTCTGTTACATTCCATTCTAGTTATTTACATAGAAACTGATAAGCCTCTAATTGGTTATCTTTTTTATATATATATATATATTACTTATATGATTTTGGCACTATTATGTAAAGTATATTGTAGAAAAATTTGCAATAATTGTTTTGAAGTCATTGACAGCAAGAAATAAGTCGAATAACAAAGTAGAATTGGTCTTGTCTTAAATAATCCATAAAAGTTTATGTCTAGACAATTGAATAATAAATAACAGTGTAATGTGATTTACATTCTGGAAGCAATTGTTTTGTTATTTAATAATGTTATTTTTATAAATATTTGTCCATAATTAAATGCTGCTGAATACAAACTAAAACTGAATTTAATTTCTATGCAAAAGTTGAATGAATTCAAAAAGTTTTTGCAAATTGAGTAATCCAAAAATGTCCATCTCTATTTAGATATTTATTCCGTCCACAATATTAAAATAGGTGCTCAATTTATTTTCCATTATTTATAGCTGCTGATGTACCAAGTATATTTGCTGATACACTTTGACCTTAAATGAAAATTGAGCATAATTGGTCTCTCATGAACACCAGAAGGTAGTTAATAATACTCGTAGAGTGTAGAATGATAGCATTCCATTTAACTTCGTTCAAAAAAGCTCTTTATGTAACATGTTTAATTGGACAGTTACCAATTAATGTATGTATGTTGGTTGGCCTGATTTATTTTGTGTGATATCAGTTCACATTTTACAGATTTTCCACACACTAAGAGTGCAATTTTAGCTTATTCCAAAAACACAATAAATTGTTTGTTATATTTCACTATACTGCTGATAATAAAGTTTACTATAATTATTTATGTCTCATTATTCTGATTAATATAACTCCTACTGGTTTGTCTACATTGTATCTACTTACAATTTGGATGAGTCTCACTAATTTTCCCATATAATAGAAGAAAGATAATGGAAGCAGTTCAAAATCATTGTTTTTCATGGTGGTGGATTGGTTTAAACTGAACTTTACCTTATGACCAAATTACTGTTGCCAATTAACCTTGTTGCTAATTTACATTCAAATTTCGCTTCTAAATTACAACCATCCCACAGCATTTACTAATACATCCACCCTTGCATTTCCACAAGATCATCATAATATGAGCTATTCAAATATGATGCATCAACCAAATATGACTTATAATACATCTCCATCTTACCATATCCATTTCTTACCATTGCCTAATATGCATTCAATGCCCAACCCAGGACTTGAAACCGTTATAGCTGAAATGTCAAGAAAATTAAATAAACTGAATCTACTGGATAGTGCACTTGACAGACTAACTGCTATTGAAACTAAAATAGACACATTTGAAAGTGATATCAGTAGACTAAAACACGATGTAACGGTTAATAAAACTAGCATAGATGGGAATTATTTGCTGTTAAGTAGTCTCGAAGAAACTGTGCATAATCTATCGAAGGAAATATAAACTTGAAAAGCTCTTATACTGATATGCAACAGAGGGGGATGATGAATAATCTGATATTCACTGGCATTGCAGAATCTATAGATCTTGATAGTGAAAATTGTGAACATGTCTTGAAACGATTTATACACGAAGAATTAGATATCTCTAAAGGATTAACGTTCCGAAAGGTACATCGCTTAAGAAAACGAAATGACGGGAGACTGACTGTTCGTGATTCAAAGATAGGAATTTGGTCCTAAATAGTGCACCCACTCAACTACGAAACAAACCCTTTGGCATAAATCCACAATACCCCACAGCAGTCAATGTGAGGAGAAACGAACTTATGCCCATTTTAAAAGAGGAAAAGAAACTTAGACTAGGACGAGTGGCCAAACTAAAAGTGGATAAACTGCTGTGGATGGAACTGAGTGCAAAAATATGAGTGATGTGCATCGAATTAAAGATAGCATTGACTCGCAAAGACAGGGTCCGCCCATAGAGTTATGAACACTCAATAGGACACTGTAACAAGAGGTTACGAATCTAAATCTACCCTACAACTCACTTATGTGAATGTTTGTGGTATTAAAAACAAACTCTTATCACAGTAAATATAACATTCTCTTAGGATGTGTATATATCCCACCAATCAAATCACCTTATGCAAGTCATGATTCTTTCGATGAGATTGAAAATGAGTTAATACATTTTTCGCATGATGATTCAAAGATATGACTAATTGGCGATTTTAACGCCAGAACTGGGACTAATCCTGATTATATTATCCCTGATAAAAATTCACTCAATATTGCTAACATTGAAGAAAACTCTGATTTATTAGCTTATATGTATGATTACGAAAATTTGTTAAGATGTGATATTCCTCTTGAACGATGTAGTGAAGACAACAATGTCACGAATACCTATGGGCACAGTTTACTCAATATTTGCAGATCAAATAATATGTATATTGTGAATCGTCGAGTTGGTGATGACAAGCTCATTGGTAGAATTACAAGTAATACGAAAAGTGTCATTGATTATTTGATTTTGGAATCTCATTTATTTCAAATTATTACCAAGCTTAAATACATAATCTCAACCCATTATATAGTAACGTACATTCCCGCCTAGAATTTTCTCTCGAATGTCAACCAATACAATAGAATAAAAAAAAAAACGAAACCATAATAAATCTAAATCTATCAATTGGGATGAAAAGAAAAAAAGTAATTTTATTATTAACATAAAGAAAAACGAAACAAACGTCGGTACCATTATAGAGAATATTAATAAAATACAAGAAACCAATAATAAGATAGAAAATGATAGAATAATTAATAGTGCAATTAAAGAAATTAATAATATATTCAATAACTCAGCCAAAGAAGCCTTTAGTAAACCAAAACCATTTAAATATTATAGTCAGAAGACAACAAGTAACAATCAATGGTTTGATAGTTCTTGTAGATCTTCAAAAAAATTATTTCATAAAGCTAAAAGAAAATATAAGAACCAAAAATCTGCTATTAACAAAAGCGAACTTAATTCAGCTGGTAAAATTTATAGAAGTGATTTAAATCGAGCCCATAATAAATTAGAATTCCAGACAGAGCACAAAATTAGAGAATTGTCGAAAAATAACGCGAAGTCTTTTTGGAAAATTTTAGAAGAAATAGACGGAAAAACAAAATATAATGCCGATAGTAATATAGATGAATTATATGATTACTTTAAAGATCTTAATACCATAGAAAATCCTAATGATATTGAATTTAATATATCCTTGAATGGAACTAACAATGAACTAATTGATGAAATATTGAATGCGCCAATAACAAACTTAGAAATTTTAAGATTCTATTAATCAATTGAAATTGAATAAATCCCCAGGAATTGATGAAATATATAATGAATATATTAAAAACTCTGTTGATACATTTATTCCATTATATGATGTTCTTTTTAACAAAATTCTAAACATTGGAATTATTCCAGAGGTATGGTCAATAGGAGTAATAAGACCTGTCTTCAAAAATATTTAATGTAATTTATATGTATTCCGATACAAAAAGCTGTGTAAGAAATGGTAATGATATCTCAAATTATTTCCCATGAATGTCAGGTGTACATCAAGGTGAAAATCTTTCCCCATTTCTATTTGCAATTTATATGAATGATCTGGAATCATTTTTTGACGAAAATGATGTAAAATGTCTTGAAGTTATAGGTAATTTATCAGTTGATAATAAAGCTTTATATAAAACTATTCTTGTTACTTTATGCATATGACACTATAATTTTATCTGAAACTGAAGAAAATCTGTAGAAATCACTAGAGGTGTTCAGCAAATATTGCTCCAATTGGAACCTGACAATAAATCTAGATAAAACGAAGTAATTTTTTCTAGAGGCAAAGTGAAAAACATATCATTCCATTTCAATGATAAGCGAGTAAGTGTTGAACAATCTTATACATATTTAGGCTTACTATTCAACTATAACTGTAAATTCACATTGGCTAGAAAACAACTTATTGATCAATCAAGAAAAACTATGTTTGCATCAAATAGGGAAATTAGAAATATATCACTCCAAATAGATTTACAATTTAAATCATTTGACTTGTTAGTGTTACCAATCCTACTGTACGGATGTGAAATTTAGGGATATGAGAATTGTTCAGACCTAGAAAAAATTCATACACAATACTGTAAACGAATATTAAATGTTAGAAACACAACGCCAAATTACATGGTATATGGAGAAACAGGCCGATTCCCTATTTTATTAACTATTCAACAACGTATGATTGTATTTTGGTCAAAGCTTGTCGATCCAAACTCTGAGAAACTATCGCATAAATTATATAGTCTCGTCTTGCAGTTACATACAACAGGTCAGAAACAGTTTAGATATATTAAATTCATAAAAGAAATATTACATGAATTCCACGGTAATCGTGACACGAGAGTAAATTATCAAATTCATATTTCTTTGTCACGTGACCGGAAATCTATTAAGCCCGCGAAATGCTTACGCCATTTTAGCCTATTTTAAACGTCTTTTTTCTTAGAACTAATTTCACTCAACAAAGGTATGTTGTATATCATAGTTTTTTAAATTTTATGGGCTTTTCTAGAATGGATATAGGTGTTTCGTCAAATGTTTGATAACATTGGATAAAGCAAAAATAAATCAGGTTTCTTAATTTCATTAACGCCAGTAATTCCGTCACGATATTTAACTGAAAGTTCAGGTCATTCCTTTATTTCTCAATAATTTGTAATCAAATTTCATGTTCAATGTAATAATCTGTCCAGTTTTACGAAAATATTCTTAATTGTCCAATGCTATGAACGAAACTATTTATTTTTCGTGTGACGGAATTACATTTTCTCTTTTCGTGACGGAATTACAGTTACAGTGTAATTCCGTAACGCAAATGCTTTGACGTATCTGTTATCCTACTAAGTTGTTATCTAATCAAAGTAAAGTAAAGGTGCGGTTTTTTGTTCCAGAATGGCCAAGACTGCAGCAGAAAGGCAGCGGAAGCGAAGAGAAAAACTGAAAATGGAAAATAATCGAGTCGACTATGAAGAGCATAAACGTCGAGATAGAGAGAGAAAGAAACTTGCTAAATTATTAATGTTGCCAAAGGAGAAGGAAAATTTACAAACACGAACGAGAGAAGCTGTTAGACAACATAGGATGAATAACTCTCAAATTAGAGTCGTTGATGGGACAGTTGTTGGTGGAACGCCCTATAAGTCCATGTCCTCTTTGCGTAAAGCTAAGTCCCGCGTGATGAAAGCACTACCAAAGAGTCCACGCAAACGAGCATCTCTGGTGAAGTTAATGGCCTGTGACATTTTAGGAACATATATAGCAGCACCGAAGATCAGGACCAATCAGGAAATAGAAGAAGCCGTTATTTCATTTTACGAAAATGAAAATATATCTAGAATGATGCCTGGAAAAGCCGATTTCATAACACTGAAAGATCAGTTGGGGAACAAATATACAAAGCAAAAACGACATCAGGTCGCAACAATTACAGAGACATATAAATGCTTTATTGAAGATAATCCATCTGCTGATATTAGTAAATCCAAGTTTACATCTCTTCGTCCTCGATGGGTTCTTCTGTCATCGGAAATGTCGCATAATGTCTGTGGTTGCAAATATCACAGTAATGTGATACTACTATTAGAAGCACTGCATCGGAGATATCCTGATTTGATTCCATTATATTCTAAAGAAGATTTTATTGCTCATTGCGTCTGCGATATTAACGACGAAGATTGTATGCGAAATGGTTGCGAGAGGTGTAGTGACGGTAAGCTCTTCAAAGAAATATATGAAAATAAAGCTCCAGCAGATAACGAATTTTCTTGGTACCAATGGGAAGATACAAATGGATTCTTACAAAAGGTGAAAAAATCTGGCAATTAAACTGATGCATTTGAAGAATTAGCTATGCAGCTTCCTAAGTTCAACTGGCATCTTTTCATTAAAGAAAAACAGTCATCATCGTACCAGCACATGAAAATATTATCTTCTGAAGACACATCTGAAGAATGTCTCCTTTAAATGGACTTCGCTGAAAACTTCACTTGTATCTGACAGGATGAAATTCAGTCAGCCCATTGGAAGCAGCGACAGGTGACGATCTATACCATCATGATCACTTACAGAAACAAGAAGTTATCGTATGTGATTATTAGTGATTTTCTAAGCCACGAGAAAACGGCTGTAGCAGCATTCACATCCACAATATTGGATATTATCACCGACAAGTTCCCTACTGTTAGAACTGTAGATGTTTGGACGGACGGACCGTCAAGCCAGTACAAGAATAAGTATATATTTGCACTGTTGCCACGTCTTCAGGATCTTCATGCTGTTAGAATAAGATGGAACTATTTTGCTACGAGTCACGGCAAGGGACCAAATGATGGAATAGGTGGCAATGCTAAGCGTATTGTTCATCGACTGATTATGTCACGTTCTGCTGTCGTACCAGATTCTCAGTCATTTGCTAATGCTCTTCGTTCCAGTGGTACCTCAATCAATGTAGTAGAACTGACCGAAGATGATATCAAAGAAAAATGCAAAATGTTGGATGTTGAGACGTTATGGTCTGGTTTACAAACATTTCCTGGAACTATCTCTACACATTGTGCTCAGTCAGTTGGGAATGGAATGGTTCAGCTGAAGTTTTTCACCACAGATCCATCCCCAAGGCATGTTCCTGCCAAGTACACAAAGGAAGCAGTTGAAGTCAGTAGGAAATCGGATGAAAACTGGAATTGCACACTTTGTAATTGGAAATATGGTGATAAAGCGGATCCTAAAATTTCTGAAGAATGGATTATGTGCGCCTCCTGTCAATCCTGGTTTCATGAATCATGTGGGCAGCAGAATGGTATATTGGACGATTGCGACCAATTCCTGTGTAAAAAGTGTTTGCAAGAACAATAGTGAACTTGTTAAAATTGCTATGACATAATAAAATTTTAAATACCCTTTAGGTGTGAGGACTGTTAGATATGTTGACGCCAAAATCCAAATTTGTTTTGACTCCTTTATTATTTATTTTGGTAATTTTTAATAGTATTGTTAATTTGCTTTGATCTATTAAACATCATCAACTGATTTATTTTGGTTGTGCTAGTTTCTCAGTTGTTAGAACTGAACTTATTTCACAAACGTGACGGAAATTCTTGACTCGTAATTCCGTCACAAAGCCAGATTGTAAGTCCGTCACGCAAAGTTTAGCCTAGTGTCAAAAACCTTTAGCGAATTTCTGCCCAGTTTCATTGGTATTTTGATCATTTGAGGTGTTACATGACATAAACAACTCTTATGATATGAAGTGGGTACTTATTTAGCAGAAATATATGAGAATGTGCATTTTGTAAAAAGACTATGTCATAGGCTGTAATTCCGTCACGCCAACTTTAAACTACAATTGTCTGAAAATTATCGAAATTACCAATGAAATGTTATGGCTTTCAAATTATTTGATTATTCCTTAATTAGAAGTACTAAATCTAAATATTGTATTTCTGTTAGTAACTCAGGTAAAAGGCTAATTGAGTGCACTTTTAGAGCTATGTGAAATTCCGTCACGATGGAATCCATGATTAGATCACAATGGCTTATCTTATGTATGGTTGAATCAATCGATTATATCACATTATATATCGATTAAACTCTTGAAATGCACCATCAAACAAAAAACCCAAGACCAATTTATTCAAAAATGGAACAATGATATTTGTACTTCTTCTAGAGGAGAAATGTATTCCCTAGTTAAACAAAACTTTGGTATTGAAGTATATTTGCTGAAGTTGAACTCCTTTCAAAGAATTAATCTATGTAAATTCAGAACCTCAAATTTAAAATTACCGATAGAAACCGGAAGATGGAATAAAATTCAGAAAATGCCCACTATGTAATAATGGAATTCGCGACGAATATCACTATCTCTTCCTCTGTCAACACCCATCGATCTTATGCTTCAGAATTAAGTACAATCCTAAGTATTATACATAATATTCGTCAAAATATAAAATGAAAACCTTATTTTGTTATAATAATATACGAGTTTTATCAAAGATAAGTGTATTTCTTTATCATATTGAAAAGACTATATTAAAATGTAAATAATCCAAGACAAGATTTAAATATATTATATTTATTAACACATTGAATTCTTTTTATTATTATTGTGTAGAAATTGTTATATTTATATTTCATGTAATCTCTTGTTACCCACGCTGTGGGTCTGAGTTAATAAATTTCTGTAATTAGTAAGAAGGTTAATTGGCTACACTAAATTGGTCACAGAAATAGGGTCGCGTAATACTTAGCAACAAAGTAAATCAGCAACAGTAAAATAGTCATAAAAAGAAAGTAAAAACAACTAGCTCGATCCTTCAATTCCACTTTCCGTTACATACAGTCAAGTAACTAATTTCGGGCTAACCTATTTTTCGTGCATTTCCGGAAATGATTAATAATTTACATGTGCGACCTCGCGTGACCTCCGCATTTGCTTGTGTTGATAAACATGGGTTTTCTGTACAATGTCAGCTAGTAGAATGAATCCAGTAATTTCGAAAGCAAAGTAAAATGTATTAATGTATACTTTGACAAATACAAAATGGCGGATTTGAGTTATTACCAAACGTCACAATTTTTTATCGGCCGAATTTCCTTATAATCCCAAACGGTAATCGGAATTCCAAGTATCGTCTGCTAGAAGGTAGTGCAACGAATGAAGTTATGTGATCAACTAGCGGATTCCGTGTCAGCAGAAATTTCTATGGAACACAAAGTGGGCAATATTCTTATGTTATTTCAGTGACTTTTAGCAATAAATCACGCTACGTATCTTATTTTGTTAGTTACTATTTTTTTTTTAAATCGTGGTTCTTTGAAGGAATTGTCACTTGTTATGATGAATTGATATTAAAGATAAATACTAAGAGAAGTTAATTAAACCACCCGGTATTCACACAACGTGTTTTTCTCGACTTATTTATAGATCAAACATTGTACACGAAAATAGGTAACGCATTCTGCCGCCGTTGCCGAGCTGGTTGCTCATGAAATATCGGTCAAAGTGAAGGATTCATAAAGAAAATCGAAACAAACCAATATCAATTATTTTGTAGAATATCTGAAGAAACATCTAAGACATAAAAAAAATTTCGTTTTTTTAACTTTGACGAAATTCGGTGTTAAATCCTTATATGCACGGAAATAGGTTACACCACTGTATGATATGACGTTTTGTCACCGAACTTCGCTTGTGGAGACTAAGTAGACAAAATCTACCCTCGAGAGTTGGAAATTAAAGACGCCAATCTCCTTTGTGACCCATTTACCTCGTGACCAATCAAACTTGTTACTAGGCCTACTTGATCTTTTGACCGATTTACCTTGATGCCAATTTGCGACCAATTTACCTTGAGACCAATTTAAGAAATGTTTAGCATAGTGTTAATAATGTTATTAATAGAAAATAAAGAAAAAGGCATTTGGAATTTTAATGGAATGGATTATTTGCCGTTGGTGGTAGGATTCTCTTAATATAATTCTGAAGGTGTGCGCATGCCTCGGAAATTAATAATTTCAATTCACTCTGTAAATATTTATATCTTAGAAGTTTTACCCTCGTCTTAAGCTTTTAAGCATAATATAGGACAATCTGTCATCATAAAATTGGATAACCTCAGACATTAACTGTTGATAGCATCCCATCTCATCTTAAACAGACAAAGTATAAATAAGCATCACAAATATGTTTAATAAATTGTTGACTGATTTGATAGTAAAGAATAAATATTTGTAAATATTTGTTATATAATAGACGAGTTGAATATGTGATATAAAATCTGTAACGTTCATCACTCAACTCTTAAATATAAACAACTTGATGCTAATTACTTTTTGGTAAGAACTGAGAATTTTTCTCATAAACAAAACTACATGCATCGTTGCTACAATACATATTTTCAGTAAAAATTCGCATTCCACAACTGTTCTCTCTACAGTCTGGTAGTAATTTGTCGTAAATTACAGTCAATCTGAACGATGTTATTTAGTCTAAGGTTCCTTCATTGGAGAAGGTAATTGTTGAATGAGCAAACTGGAAAAGCGTGAAATTTTTTTATATTTTATATTACAAAACCAGACTGAGTTGTAAAAATAGGCCCAGTTTATGATCTGCCTTATAAGCCAAGTATTCAATGGAACAATGGAAGTTGAATGTTTGAGTTAAACTTAGATTTAATTTATGAAGGATCAAAGCATTTGTGACGTTTAAGGGATATAATTGGTAGGCCATAATATAATTATATTTCTGTCTGTTTTTGTAACGAGGCACTACGATCTGATGCGAAAATCAACGATCTTTTTTTTTTTATCTTGCCCAGGACATATTAAAACCAATAAGTATTGTGTTCATGAGCATGTATTTCAATGTTTCGAAGACCCAATAGTTTGAAACTGTGGCCTTATTATGAACAATTTAAAAAACATTACAATAATTTACCCAATCGTAAATAAATAGTTTTTGTCATTTTTCTTAAAATTATGGTGACAATAAAGTATTATAGCCAATTTAGTTTTGAGTGAGATTTTTGATGTCTTGGACCCAATGGAATAGGTTTGATACACGAGACGAAAATCATTTTGGGTCATTTGATTGCAGACGGTTCCTTTTAAGTATTTATAGTGTTTTTTTCAGTGATGGGCTCGATTGATACATCTGTTGAGGTAGATCTACGATCTATATTAGCATTATTACACCCTAGAACACCATTAGAACACACTTTATCATCGTTAATATTCTGATTCTGATCGATACCACTAATCACAGTTTCAATTGGTGTAATTTTACGGTGCAGAGCATTTCTTATGAAATATAATGAAAACACTACTATATGCATGATTGGAACAGCAATACAGTTACTTATCGTTACTAAAGTAACAGTTTTTCTTACATCAGACCAATCTAGTATAGGATATATCAAGGGTTCGTCTAGCATATTGGTACCATTTGCACCATAATATATCCAAGTAAAACCAATGTAAATAATTCCGAATAGTGCAGGTTGATAGAAATGAAATATCCGGACTGGCATAGCAGTTACAAATATATTTGATACGACATAAACAGAATTAAAACCGTGTACAGCCACACTAACTGAGTTGGTCCCTTTAATGGCTGAAAAGATAAAAGTTCGACTTGCTCAATTAAGTACTTAAGTGAAAAAATCTTGCAAGATTTCTTCTATCTAACTTAAAAGAACACACAAAATGTGCGAAATGAAGTAGTACACTTTCGTCTTTACAACATATTGTATTTGTAACAACATGATTCCGGTGCCATGACTAATTCGTGGATGCTTCCAACGATCTACGGAAGTTCAGACTGAATTATAAATTCATCCTTTTCATTGAAACAACATCGCATGAATCTGAAAAATAATATAACGTGTACACATATACCTTTATATATCATAGACCAATATAAAGCTGATACCATGATCGCCCCAGTAGTCGATATGTTATATAAGACCCATAATATCTTTAAAAACCAGGGCATAGAAGCAGTTCCTTCTGAAATAAAATAAAAACAAAAAAGCCACCATATTAACAGACTACTGTATGTATACATGTACGGCAAAAAGCTAAATTGCCGATTAAGTCATGGGGGTTGTATTTGAAGTATCGTCTGAAGTTTTAGAAAGTGCTTCATGAAGTTGCGACACATGTGGTATTTTTTACAAAAGAAACCTATCAAGTCAAAACAAGGAGAATACCAAACCGTTTAGATTATTTCAAATAGACATATTTCTTGGCTAAAATCCACTAAGCTTTAAATAACAATCAACGGCGCCGGTAGTAAATATATTGCACCATATGTGCACTTCCGGTTTGATGAGATTCTGTAGAAACGGGATCATATTGGAATGTTAATTGAGGGAAGGGTGAGTTCGAAAAATGTTCAACATTCATACGAAATACATAATTGTTGGTTTAGTCCTCACCATAAAGTATTTTATATGTTCATACAGAGCTGCACCAGGTTAATTAATTAAGGTGATGTTTACGTATGGCCATGGAATGGTAATCTAATCATCGTGATTATCGTGAAATGATAATGTAATAATCTTAAAATGATAATTACGGGACGTGGAATGATAATGTACGGGACGTGAAATGATAATGTACGGGACGTGAAATGATAATGTGCAATAAAATATGAAATGTAATGTCATGTTAAGATAAGTACTGTCGTGTAATAATAATATTTACTCGTCTTGAAATAATAATATGTAGGTCTACACGTCTTGAAAAAATAATATGGTACTCATCTTGAAATAAAAATATGTACTCGTCGTGTAATAATAATATGTACTCGTCGTGTAATAATAATATGTACTGGTCTTGTAATAATAATATGTACTGGTCTTGTAATAATAATATGTACTGGTCTTGTAATAATAATATGTACTCGTCGTGTAATAATAATATGTACTCGTCGTGTAATAATAATATGTACTGGTCTTGAAATAATAATATGTTCTCGTCTTGTAATAATAATATGTACTGGTCTTGTAATAATAATATGTTCTCGTCTTGTAATAATAATATGTACTCGTCGTGTAATAATAATACGTTCTCGTCGTGTAATAATAATATGTACTCGTCTTGTAATAATAATATGTAGGTTTACACGTCTTCAAATAATAATATGTTCTCGTCGTGTAATAATAATATGTTCTCGTCGTGTAATAATAATATGTTCTCGTCGTGTAATAATAATATGTACTCGTCTTGTAATAATAATATGTACTCGTCTTGTAATAATAATATGTTCTCGTCGTGTAATAATAATATGTACTGGTCTTGTAATACTAATATGTTCTCGTCTTGTAATAATAATATGTTCTCGTCTTGTAATAATAATATGTACTCGCCTTGAAATAAAAATATGTACTCGTCGTGTAATAATAATATGTACTGGTCTTGTAATAATAATATGTTCTCGTCTTATAATAATAATATGTTCTCGTCGTGTAATAATAATATGTTCTCGTCTTGTAATAATAATATGTTCTCGTCGTGTAATAATAATATGTTCTCGTCTTGTAATAATAATATGTTCTCGTCTTGTAATAATAATATGTTCTCGTCGTGTAATAATAATATGTTCTCGTCTTGTAATAATAATATGTTCTCGTCGTGTAATAATAATATGTTCTCGTCGTGTAATAATAATATGTACTCGCCTTGTAATAATAATATGTTCTCGTCGTGTAATAATAATATGTTCTCGTCTTGTAATAATAATATGTTCTCGTCTTGTAATAATAATATGTTCTCGTCGTGTAATAATAATATGTTCTCGTCTTGTAATAATAATATGTACTGGTCTTGTAATAATATGTACTGGTCTTGTAATAATATGTACTGGTCTTGTAATAATAATATGTTCTCGTCGTGTAATAATAATATGTTCTCGTCGTGTAATAATAATATGTTCTCGTCGTGTAATAATAATATGTTCTCGTCTTGTAATAATAATATGTACTCGTCTTGTAATAATATGTACTGGTCTTGTAATAATAATATGTACTCGTCTTGTAATAATAATATGTTCTCGTCTTGTAATAATAATATGTTCTCGTCTTGTAATAATAATATGTTCTCGTCGTGTAATAATAATATGTACTCGTCTTGTAATAATAATATGTACTGGTCTTGTAATAATAATATGTTCTCGTCGTGTAATAATAATATGTTCTCGTCGTGTAATAATAATATGTACTCGTCGTGTAATAATAATATGTAGGTCTACACGTCTTCAAATAATAATATGTTCTCGTCTTGTAATAATATTATGTTCTCGTCGTGTAATAATATTATGTTCTCGTCGTGTAATAATAATATGTACTCGTCTTGTAATAATAATATGTTCTCGTCTTGTAATAATAATATGTTCTCGTCGTGTAATAATAATATGTACTCGTCGTGTAATAATAATATGTTCTCGTCTTGTAATAATAATATGTTCTCGTCTTGTAATAATAATATGTTCTCGTCGTGTAATAATAATATGTTCTCGTCTTGTAATAATAATATGTTCTCGTCTTGTAATAATATTATGTTCTCGTCGTGTAATAATAATATGTACTCGTTGTGTAATAACATGTACTCGTTGTGTAATAATATGTTCTCGTCTTGTAATAATACTATGTTCTCGTCTTGTAATAATAATATGTTCTCGTCTTGTAATAATAATATGTTCTCGTCTTGTAATAATAATATGTTCTCGTCTTGTAATAATAATATGTTCTCGTCGTGTAATAATAATATGTACTCGTTGTGTAATAACATGTACTCGTTGTGTAATAATATGTACTCGTCTTGTAATATTAATATTTACTCATCGTGTAATAACACTATTTACTCATTCTGTAATAATATGTACTCGTAATGTAATATTAATATACAACTTGTTGGTAAAACGCCTCTGTGTCCAAAATCATATCGACGCTAATTATTACATTCAGAAGATTTTTTTTGATCAACAGATCAATCATGTTTTGTTCTGAATTAAACACAGCAAATTGAGAGCGTATCTACTTCATGGAAATTCTGGCCTACTAGAATTCTGCAGATATATACCATGACATGAATGAAACAGAAACTTTCGACAAGGGGAAATTCCCAATTCTCGAAATTCTCACAGATGGTTGACTAGTAAATTTCATGTTTTTCTTCACATTCCATAGATTAAGGTATAAGCTTTCAACAAATTAGTATTCAAAGCTGCACATTAAACTCCCCATTACAACAAACTAGTACAATCCAATAATTTCAATGAAATGGAATTTCGGAAAGACTATAATAGAAATATTGATGTGAATACGAAATAAAGATAGGCTACTATAACAGGGAGGAACTTGTGAGCATAGAAATTTCTAGTTTGGTGTTTTTCGGAGATTTTTTTTAAGGGAGTATGTGATTTTCGAACAACGTGTTCATTTGAAGCCTATTTACTATATTCCATGCCCAAATCAACCCCCGAAAATGATTGTTGAATCTATTAGACATGGTTAACCTTTTGAGCAAATCATTTTGAAAACAGTCTCTAACTGGATTTAATCAAAACTGCTATAACACACATATTGTGTATACCATTAACCTACCTTTCAGGATTTCGGGTCTTTTTACTCTAGCATATATCAATATAACAGGTTCAATGATGGTTTCTATTGTCAGGATGAGGTATGTCCAATTGGTTAAATAAACAAACCATTTAATACGATTTGATTCTGTTGTCGCCCATTGGTAGTTCAATGCACCACTTGCTATGGTCCAACATGTATGATATATAGACCAACAAATTCTCCAAACTAAGTAAAATCTTGGACATTTCCACTGAAATAAGCAAAAATATTTGACCCAATTAAGCAACCACATTGATTAATGACATAATATAGAACAGGCAGTATCACTTGCTTTGACGTTGGCTGTACTGAGTAGCCATGAATGGTCTTCTTATATTTCTTAATAATTATGAGAAGCTTATTCAATAAAATTTTCAGGGTCAAGAATAATTATTCATTCACCATTTCAAAACTAGTATATTATATTATTTACTCAGCTGTTTTCTATCTTTGTGTATTGTTATTTAGTATTCTCTAATTCAAGTTGTTGCAGTTTTGTTCAAAAATCGTGTTAGGCTGATTTTAATATAAGATATATTTTTTCGTTCTTGAAAAGTAAAATTTACAATGAAAATAAACATACAAGACATTTGGTAACAAAATCTATTATCTTAAAAATCAAATCTATTTTCATTGTTGACTTTGTCTGTCAGTTACATAAAAACTTCTTAGTGATGTGGCTAAATAAACAGACCATGTAAATTGAAATCGTAGGAAGTCGACAAAATTAATGATCTATAATGTTTCAGTTCCTCATAAGTCTTGATTTGAAAAAAAAGGAATGTAGTTACCAAGCAGTGGCGTTTCTATGAGGGATGGCCCAAAAAAATCTTTCCATCGACCATTCATGTTTATCGAACTCATCCGGGATCTCAGGACGTTTAAAAACCATTGCAGAGAGTTAAACCTATACCAGTAATATACTCAATGAACTCAGTTGGCTAAGCACGTGTATAATTAGCGTTATTCTTATTTTAGTATTCAACATTTGAACTAAGTATATTTTTGACACTGTTTAGTTTAAGATGTTAGTTGGTAATGAAGACATCTTATTAATAGTAGTTTAGACCAGTTGAAAGTTTTCGTTGCGGTATAAAGTAAAATGATGATGCCATGTACTACAATATATACTTTAATAACAAGTCAGTACGAAACTTGCAAATGATTTCGATTTGTGTGCTTCAAAAGAACAATTCATCAACACTCACTGAATTCCGACTAACTTTTTCTTTCAACGCAGATAACACACCACAACAATCAGCTTACTAACCACATTGGTTCCGTCTTTTGTTTCTGATCCGCTCAGACTCCTCCAGAGTTTATCAGGCCAATGAGGTTGTCTCAAATTGTATACATGTTATACATGTATTTTAATTTAATTGGGGATTTCCTGTTTAAATTCTTCAATATTAAAAACGTGTTAATCTATTAAACCATGTGTTGTACGTATATGTAGGTTACACGTCTCTTTAAACGGGAAGTACCACTTATAAACTTGATAATTATCTCTTTAAGATACCTTGCAGAAATTTGGGAAACTATATAGCCTAGATCAAAATCTTCAAAAATGTGTCCTTAACTTATCTTAAAGTTTTAACTTAAAGTAGCATTAATTTTAGAACTCCCAAATCAGTTAAATGGTTTACGTAAACATTTTGACCTCACTAGACATGTATGTTGGTTGGTGTTTGAAAAATGATGTAAGAATTTTAGCAAAATAAACACCAAGTTTTAGAAAAATATCATATGTCTCTTACAATTTAAAACTAGTTAGCCATTGTAAGGGCAAATACCAAAACTAGATCAAATTGCTTTATTAACAACTTATACGTTCCGTTTAATGACAGCTTTTAAAGGGACATTCTGATTAATTTTGTAGATTAAGAAATAAAAACTAAACCAAAATCTATTGAATCGTATCCCATAACGTGAAAGTTTTAACTAAAAAAAATCAGCCGTTAATTTTTTAACGCCAAAAAATGAAGTAAAGAGTAACGTAACCATTAAAGTTCGTTATGCTTTTTGCAAGTTGTTAAAAAAACTACTGTACAAATTTGAGTACAGAATTGTAGAGAAATATGTCTCCTACGTTTTTTAAAGATTTTAACTAAATATAACGAGCCAATCACCGAAACTAGGTCAAACTGCTTAATTTCAATTAACCCTTTTAAAACAAATTCAGTTTGATCAAGTAGATACATAGATATAAATATAATATAGCATACTTTAGAACAATTTTCAGGTTTAATTTATGGCGTTTTTGATAATGAAAATGTTTTGCAAAAAAAGCGAAATACAGTTTGATCAAGTGTATACATAGAAGTAAAAAGCATATTTTAGAAAACGTTTCATCTAAAATTTACAATGCTTATAATAATAAAAAGTTTGCATACTGTCCCTTTATATGCGTTCTTTTGATTGGATTAACACCAAATTTTGTTGCAAAAATTGTTAGTTAATAGAAATAGAAAAGTAAATTTGCATTAAGAGACATCTTTGTTTGGTAATATTGTTTCTGTCAGAAAGTATATATATTAATGCTTTATGACATATTAAAACTTGGTTACACATGTCCATCAACCAATGCAAATTTCATAGAGACTCCAGCAAAAGCTTCTAAGAAACTGACTGATAATATAAATCACAAATTCTCGACGTGCAGTATGAAATGTGGAATTATCATTACATTTTGTCAACTTTTCAAAACTAAGATAATGCTACTTAAATCTGAAAGCATCTTGTGATAATTTAACATGTGTTTATAATTGAAATTTCATCATCAAAATCTGTAATTTAATAAGCTTTATATATTTGATAATGAAGGAATCAAAGGTTTTGGTGGATACTTTCAAAATACATACCATGCATAGCATATATTTTAACAGGGTGATCGTATTTAACGTACCAGTAATTAAACACCTTTACATATGTTTCCAAACTTAAAAAAACATATTCGTCTTTATAGAGACTTGATATTAAAATTTTGACATCTTAAATTTCAAGGCCTACTATAATAAACTAATTCTTATTTTGTAATCTGGGATGGGGTGGGGTGTATTGGGGTGCTGACTGAACGAGTCGCATGCTTGCTTACTAACCTGGTGACCCAGGGGGATAATTCTCGAAATAAGGCCAATCTAAAGTCATAAAACAATTCCATAAACAGAATCTTTACAGAACTGATCAATTCGTGCAATGTCTATGATGATTTTGAGCCCCGGAAATTGATGTCAGTTAAAATATTGTCAGCACATGGCTTTATGAATTATTTAGAATTTGACTGATATGACATTGGCAGTTTGTTTATAATACAGGAAGTCTTTTATATGTAGAAACTATTCTGGTATAGAAATGATTAATTCTCAAACAGCTGAAAGGTGTAGCCACGTGCAAGAAAGGACATTTCAAATAGTTTAGCATGCATTGGGGAGGGGGCAGAGAATGGAGGGCCCCCAGTTTAAGAATTCTGATAACTAATTCCATTGAAGTAACTAAACTATTCACCATAGCCCTTCCGGATATATTACTTGCCCCTCCGAACAATCAAGTCTGGCTAGGGCTTGAATTACGATGAATGAAAACCTAAACCACATACTTCACAAATAAAGTGCAGAATATCAAATTTTCACACATGAAAATCGCAGATGTTTCATCAAAAACATAGTTTACTAAGGACATTAATGAGATATGAGACATAGATTTCTATGTTATACTATTATTCTTATTAAACTTAAACCAAAAGGAACAATGTAATTTCTTAATGCCACAATTATTGCAGAACTGGAATCACTGTCAGTTGAAGTATGCATATTGAGATAGCAAAAATAATGCTAGACTTTTTGCTAAATCTTCAAAGAACTGTTTGTAATGGAGGCCTGCAGAATATTTTATATCAATTGTAATTATATCATATACAGAGTATTTTACACTCGTTGTAATGGCATCAAGTACAGAGTATTTTTATACGCTCACACGAAATGGAGGCGTATATTGCCGTCACCCATGTCCGTCCGTCCACGATTGCTCGTAAACACTCTATAAAGCACAATTCTTGACTGACATGGTTGTTTGTAATCACCCAAGGATGAACCCTATTGAAAATCAATAATAGGAAAATATTTAGTATGAGTAATTGCTCTTGTTCTTGAAAATGTTCGTGAACACTCAAGAAGGCGCAATTCTTGACGGATTTTGATGAAACTTGTTGTGAGTGTTTTCTATCACCCCAGGATGAATCCTATTTAATATTAGAAAAATTGAAAAATATTTAGTATAAGTTATTGTCCTTGTTCTTGAAAACGCGTTGAAGTTTTAACCCGTGAACACTCTAGAAGGCCCAATTCGTGACAGATTTAGATGAAACTTGGTAATATTATTCAGTATTGTCTCAAAAAGGTCAAATGTCATTCATTGAACTTTGGTAGCAAGAATTCGTTAGATATTTAATGAGGTTTAACCTAAATATAATCTCAATAATTGAAACATAATAATAGGGATATATCATATTTCATGGTTGAAAATTATAATTAATTCGTGCATGACTATCTGCAATTATAGGTCTTCATGAATATAGCGTACATGCAGCTAGGTCACAATAAACTCGTCATCTGAATTTGGTTACTTTAAATTGGTCACATGGAAAATTAGCCCGGTAAATCTGGTCCTTCGTTCCGGGATAGGGATAGGAAAATAGGTAACAAATTATATTATCGGAAGCCTACTTTCGAAAAAAGGCTATCACGAAGTACCGTGGGTGTATAACTTGGGCGACCGCTGTTTTCACCACAGAAAAACTGCCATTCTGTAATGCTCTTATTCTGTCCTCACCAAAGGGTATGGCTTAACAGATAGATAACAAGACCGCCACTTCTTAAATTCAGAACTTTATTCAAAGTCGACGATCATTATTGTAAAAAGCTGTAAAATACAAAGTAACACAAAAGTTACACTAAGGAAAATCAAATAAAAGATATCCCTCTTTAGGATTTAAATGTTAGTTTCAAAGTTCGATTAAATGACAAATCAAGTCGGCACACAATATAGATCAAAGAAAACTGTGAGGTCAAAGGTCAATCTTGCCGATCGACGAAAAAGGGAACTCAAAGTTCGCAAAAACTATTATTCCGATCGTAGCTAAACTCTCGTGGAGGTAAAAGTAACCACTTCTAAGTTCGGTTGATACAGATTACTAACAGATTACTCACACGGTGG